GGAACTTGGGTGAAAGTCTGCAATTTCTCTGGTACGAAATATCATAAGAAACTACGCGAAATCCGCTTCTTAACCTCGTCATGAATATTCTTAAGATAGACAAAAAAAAACTTTTAATTAAACTCTGTACGATTTTTGGCACAAATCTTCACAACTTTCCAATGAATTTCCATGTTGGGAGAAATGAAGACGGATTATAAAAGTTCCTTTTCTCTCTCTCCGTCTTTGTGGGGAAAAACCCACAAAAGAGACGAGTTTTTATCTCACAGCCACTGATATACTTCCACCTTGTCATTTTTCCTAATTCACAACTATTGTGTGCGAAATTAATTTTCCCTGCGCAAACAAAAGGGAAAGCCAATTTGACTCTTTCGCCTCGTTAAGCACAACACACCAACCCTGATGGCGAGAAGGTAAGGAAAGCGCCACATTCGCGCTGTATCATGAGTGATGAGGAGAAGGAAGGAAGAAAATACGTTTCGGCTTATTGTTATACATTACATGCGTATGTTATTAGCAGAACGAACACAATGTCGTGAATAAAATTGCCTATTCCAAGTCTATCAACTTCTTCTTCAACTGCGCAGCAATTATTAACCGAAACAGAACACAATAATGCGGAATATTAAAAAAGAAGCCAGAAAATAAATCAGTGCGAATTAAAATCTCGATCGAAATTAGAAATCTTAAGAAGATTTTCTCAATTCCTTGGAATTTACGAATGATAAAACCTCTTTAGTCATTAAAAAAGCAATTATTGAATTTTTAATAATCATTTTTGCATATTTTTGGGTCAAAATTAGTCGTTTTGTGCACTAAAAAATTCTTTTTGATGAAGATTGTAGAAAACACAGTAAAATTATACATAATTTTTCAAAATTGTACATAAATTTGCAGAAACTCACAAAAATTTTCAAGATTTTACATGAATTTTTAAAATTTAGCAAAAATTTTCAAGATTTTACAAAACTTTTCAAAATTTAACAATAATTTTCAAGATTTTACAAAAATTTTCAGAATTTTGGACGAATTTACAAAATTTTATATGAATTTTCAAAAATTTTCCTAAATTTTCAAAATTCACCTAAATTTTCAAAATTCAACATAAATTTTCAAAAAATCACGTAAGATTTCACAAAAATTACCGAAAACACATAAAATTAGACATAAATTATCAAAATTTTGCATGAAATTTCAAAATTTTGGAAAAATTTATACGAATTTTTGATAATTTATGTGTAATTTTATATGTTTTTTGATAATTTTTGTGAAATCTTGTGTCGATTTTTCAAAATTTTACAAAAATTTTAAAAATTGAACAAATATTTTCAAAATTTTACATGAATTTGCAAAATTTACAAAAGATTTTCAAAATTTTACAAAACTTTTCAAAATTTCATATGAATTTTCAAAAATTCACCTAAATTTTCAGAATTCAACATAAATTTTCAAAAAATCACATAATATTTCACAAAAATTACCAAAAACACATAAAATTAGACATAAATTATCAAAATTTTGCATGAAATTTCAAAATTTTGGAAAAATTTATACGAATTTTTGATATTTAATGTGTAATTTTATGTGTTTTTTGATAATTTTTCTGCAAATCTTATGTTGAATTTTCAAAATTTCACATAAATTATAGAAAATTCACATGAATTTTTAAAATTTCAAGTAAATCGAATAACAAGAAGTGTTCAAATTATTCGTTGATTAACTTGAAAAAAAACTGATAAAACACAAAGATAAATAAATTTTCTGTCATCGCGTTTTGAAACAAAATGATTCATGACAGTTTATAAAACAAATCGATGTTTGAGTTCGATTCCTGATCCTGTGCGGAATATTTTCCACTGTGGATGTTTTGCAGACACAAATTGACATGACAAATCTCTCTGACGTGAAATTCCATCAATGAATTGCCGTGTTGACCATTAGAAATCCTCCCAAAAAATGCATCGTCAAATATTGCGCTTTGACGCGACATTTTGGGAATTAATTATTCCACGTGACAAAGAAAAAAACATCCTTAACAATTTAACTGTCGGAAAAATGCAGACAACAAACTGTCACGAAGTGGATTTTATCTGTCTCTCTTCACGTGTGTTTTCATGTATTTTAATAGGATCTCAAAATCAAGTGAAGAAACATTCTTGGATTGCTTGCCTCTCGTGATTAATACGTTTAATCTACTTGAGACAATGATTTTGCTATGCTTTGGGTTTGAGGATGTGTTCAATATTTCGGAATATGTTATTACAACTAAGGGATTTGATTAGCATTTGATTAACATGGATGTTTACACATAATACACACATAAATTGTACTCGCCACTTGCTTCCGTTCCCACCGCTGTGCTGTATTTGGCTTTTGCCACCTTCTAAGATGTCTTGCAACGACCGCAAGTACACTCGACGGACTTGCAGATTTGAATATTTCCGCATGCTGCAATTTGACTCACAACTTATGATTATGCTGTGAATAATTCACGCTCAGAATGACATCAATTTATGTGCAACATTCAATAAAGTCATTATCGTAATGGCCATATAGATTCAGTCATCAGCGCAGTCAACGCATTAAATCCGTCTTAAAGCCTTTCGAAGGGAAAATGTGGGCGACTGAGAAGCTCAAAATGTATCAATTTGAATTTGAAAGTTGATATTATTCAACTTCAATCACTGTGAAATTTAATCAACGTCGATTGATTTTGTCGATGCATTTTCCAAGGGGAAAAGACAATATGATTAAATTTTTTATGAAACATCTGAAATATGACTGAAATCCGACTGAAATCTAACCAAAATCTAACTGAGAGTTAGATAAATAAATACAGACGGTTTTTCTTTTGGTGTTTTTTTCTGATTTTAATTGCACTTTTCGATGCAAATTCTGAATAGGAATTTTTCTGGCTCAAAATCTGATGTTCTGAAGTGAAAATTTGAGGTTATGTTGAATATTCTTCACCACAAATCTTTTAAAATTGCGATTTTCAATGACAGAAAATGAGAAATTCTTCTAATAAATGAAAATAATTTCATTTTCACTACAAGAATTTCCATTTTAAACTCTTTTTTCGTCTCTAATACGTCACATAACCTAGAAAAATATGTCAAAATGAAGATTTGAATAAAATTAATTTCTTAGAGTGAAATAATCAAAGCTGTTAACGAAATATAGGAAAAATTTACACATTTCGACTTCCTGAAGCTTCTCCAGATCCGTACACCACTTCTGACCACATTATCTCCCCCTTGGCTTTTCCAAATGAGTGCAATTTCACTTTAAATGTGATTCATCGCAATATTGTTAATGGAATTGCTCTATACGGTTTGGTCTCTCAATATTAATCAATTGCATTTAGTCACAGTGGAAAAAGTGTATGAAATTGAGTGGAAGGATGAGCAAAATTGTGCTACAAAACAGGGAGATTTGGAGAGGAAGTGGAGAAAAAGCGATGTTGATACATGTTTTTGTAGTTATCTCAGCTTCAGTCTTAATTGATTAATTCTTGATGGTTTGCCGGATACACAATTCTGTCTCTAATTTACTTTGGAATGTCAGTTAAACGCCATGTAATTGAAATTTATACACACACACACGATCAGAGTGAGAGAATGAGAGTATCACAAGAAATACACCCAGAGTTTAATACACAGGATCCCCAGGATTTCTCAATCTCTCACACCCGCACAGCCTTCTGGGGTCATGTGCGAAGGAGTTGGAGCTGTGACTGAAGAAGTTACAGCACAGCTCTGTCATTAGTTCGGCGTCCAGTGGTTGGATTTCACCCTCAGGAATGACAATCATGTGTATATGTATGAGATTAGTGGGTGATTCCGGGTGGTGAAGCGCCTCCATCTCTGGCTGGCGCTCCTCTCTTCGTCTTGAAGACAAAACCGATGCAAATTGTTCCTTCATTAAAATTTGATTGCATTTGAATAATGTATGCTTTTCCCTCCATGCCGAGCGAGGCTGTGTGGCTTCGGCTCATATGAGCACAATGGAATGCATATCAAATGGTTTGGAAGATCTCAAATTTATGGCATACGCACGGATTGCGGGATATTTCTCCTGTATATCAATCGCCTGAATACATTTCTCACCCGCACATCTTTTCTGTCCGCCACGAGCTTCACGTGCACTTGTCGTATTAATTCCTCTCCCACCGCTTCACTTTCACCCACTCATGAAGAATTGCACCTCTTCCAATCTATCACGAGAGAGCGCTTTTTCCCTCCGCCATGGCGTTTTCTGCACTCTCGTTGAGTTCCAACATTTCGCCTTCGGGAGTTTTCGTGTGCGGAAACTCGCTTTAAACAATTGTAAATTGCCAAAACTTCAATAAAATTGATCGAAAAGTGAGTATTTTCAATAATAAATTGAATATTCGAATATTTTCTCCGCTCTTGGCCGCTAGAGGACACCCAAGTTGGCGTGAGGGACGCTATTCATGTCGCATTTTTCGCAATATGACGAAAAATGCTAACTTCCTGGCGTGATCCTGGCCAGGAGAGAAGGAAAATTGAGCGGATCAAGTTTGAAAAGCACGCAGAAGTTCCGATTCATTTTCAGCCTCTTCAATTTCAATCAAAACCGTGAAGAATCCAAAAATAATTGAATAATCACAAAAACAAGTGACAAGACACGAAACGATGCACAATTTCCGCCCCACAGAAATGTCCGAACACGAAATGTGAAGCAACCCTGGCAGATTAGATGTGTCGCGATGAGCAGCGCGGAAAAGTGTGTCATAAACGGAAGTGAATGTGGCACAGGAAGTCTCGCTGGGTGTTCCCAATTGACTGCACAATCTCCCCGCCCGAAAATGCACCCTTTCACACGTACGCGACTGAACGTGTGGCGAGGAGAGACGCGAGTCAGGGAAGCGCAGTGCAATGGATGGGCAGAAAGTGGCGCGGAGAGTGGAGATGTCGCTCTCAGACCTTGATGACATCTCCCGGATACTGCATCGGCTCGTCTCATCCACCCTCTCGTCACATGAACACGTCGCCCATGATGGGGCCCTTGCGCGGGGTCGTGGGCACGCCGTGCGGACACTTGGACTCGTCCTCGAACGTCACCATCTTCTCGCGCGGCTTCACCAGCATGCTGGCCGGCGGCGGCGGCAGGAGCGTGTTGACGGGCTGCAAGTGCGTCACGGGCGACCTCTTGGGCGGCGGCAGCGCCAGATCGCCCACGCCGGACAGGTTGAACTCGCTGATGCTGCGCGGCACGAAGTACTCCATGTGATTCTCCATCACGCCCGTGGAGCGCCGCGCGGGCGTGTTGCGCTGGAAGGAGTTGCTGGCGCGCCGCGGGAGGGAGCTGTAGCTGTTGGCCAGCAGATCGTGCTGCCGCTGTCAGGACTTGGGCGTCATGGCCACGGTGACGAGCGCCACCTCCTCGTTCATGGGCGACGGCACCTGATCCTGCACGCCGAACTTGCGCAGCCACGCGATCAGCTCGCTCTGGATGAGGCTGAAGCACATGGCCACCACGGCCATGCCCACGAGGATGTACCCCGAGGCGATGTACTGCGCCAGGTGGCTCTGCGGCGACAGGTCGCCGAAGCCGATGGTGCTGAGCGAGGCGAAGCAGAAGTAGAGGCTCTCCAGGACGCCCCACTGCTGGATCTTGTGGAAGAGCACCGCGCCCAGGCTGATGTAGCAGATGAGAATCATGATGCACACCGATATTGGCACTGTTGGTGATGGCTGAGCGGCGCTGTGCTGCGGATTGTGGCTCTTGAAGGTGTTGCCATTCTGGAATGTGTGCGGCCGCTTCTCCCCATCCAGGCACGGCAGCCCCTTGCCGCTGGCGCCGCTCGTGCTGCTGCTGGCGCTGTTTGTGCCCGAGCTGCTCGTCGACGTGGATGGGGAGCGAAATCGACGGAAGATACATCGCATCACACTCGACAGACCCTCACCCATGGCGGAGAGATACAGCAGCATTAGAGGGATGCCGAACAGGGCGTAAATTAAGGCAGCTATCCGGCCCCATTGACTACGTGGTGAGACTCCGCCGTATCCTGCAATTAAGAGACGGGAAGACACGTTAAAAGGACGTAATTTTCATTTTTAGACACTTATTCAACTCCCCCGCCCACCCGAACGTGCGTGGCGAGCATTAGCATTAGGAGAAGAAAAAAAATCTAATTCCCAGACGTGGATTGGCAGCATAAATCTTGAGCCTCGTTTAATAATTGCACCTGGAAATGACCCACATTTCTTTGTATTCACTCGAGGAAAAGGCAATTAAGTGTAACCTTTGCTTCCCACTAAATCTACAGTGAGGGGAAAATAATATGCTTTAAATCTGTACAACACTTCCTAACATTTCCACCACAATCTTCGTTCTTGTTGACATTTCTATGGCACGATAAGAAGATGTGTAGAGCCTCCAAAGCTTCCAGTCTTTTATTGTAGAAGCTTTCTAGATCACAAAATCATCTGCCAATGAACTTAAAATTGTTGATTCACAGACAAAATCACACAGGAAGTTGTCTAAATAATCATTTCACAAGTTTTCATTACTATTTTTGAGGTTATGTTCGATTTCAACACAATTTGCAGTGTTTCTTGGCATGTAAATGCTTAATTCTTACGATCACTTGAACTTCAGCATAAGAATTGACGTGGTAGAGTGCGAAATATTCACTAAATCTGCTCTAGATTCGTTACATAACCTCAAAAAGGGATTTTTGTGATTATTTCTACGTAAAAATCAAGGGAAATCCAAGGAATCGGGACAATTTATCAGCAAAAGAAGCACACAGGAACGGGATATTGTAAGTTATTGAATACTTCAACTTCTTAAGCACTTCCACTGATTTGTACACCACTTCTGACTGCATTATCTAAACCTTGATGGATTCAAATACACTCTTCGTGTTCTAACACTGCACTGAATCTACAATTGCTCCTCTGGAGGACACACGTAATGGCGTCTTTAATGGTATTCCTTGTTCTTCAGTCACATCGCAGCGACTTCCTCTCTTCGTCATTCCATATCGCATTGCACTCATCTCGTGCAGCATCCATTTATGAATGTGAAAGTGTTATGTTAATTCAATGCAATATCCTGTCTAATTTGACGATGTGCGCGCTGTGCTTCAGCAACATCAGCCCTCAGACGATAATGATGAGGTTTATGTTGCTGGATGTCGCTGTGGTTCTTCGTTGCCAGCAGCAGCGATGGCGCGCTCGAAATGAAAAGTGTGGGAAAATTGCACAGAAGCTTCGCCATATATGTGGAAATTCCCCAAGACACGTCAGTGAGAAATGTTCTGACGTGATGCGAATGTGAATAGAAATTATACCTCAAAATCTGATTAGGTCTTCATCACTCTCAAATTTCATTCATCAACTGGCATTGAATTGTGTGCAAAGCGAGTGACTTTGCTGGCTTTCAATGTCTTGTACAGCTTCTCTTGTGCGGAGGAAGTGAATGTTTCAAAGTGCAATCAAAGGATTGCAGAAGAATCACAAATCTTATCAGTCACCGCGATTGTCCAACCGCTCTTTGGAATGTTGAAATTCTTTCAACAATAAGACTTCTCAACTTGTAGATCTTGTCAAAGTTTCAAAATGCTCTGGCACAAATGAATAAATCTTTCACTAACATGAAATACAGAAGTGAAGTCAAGGGGGAGATAATATGCCTCAAATTTGTACACTTCAAATTTGTGCAAAATCTTCAACACTTCAGACACTTCTGAACGTCTTTAAAGGCATTTTCCATTGCTTTTTCGACTTGAATTCTGATTTATCACAATTTAATCTAAGTTTTGCCTTCAAATAATGCTTTGAAAAATTCTAAACAAATTGTGAGGTTATGAAACCTGCTTAATAGATCCTTTTTGGATTAATTTTAATCCTTTCACACTGGAAATTATGAACTTTTAAGCTTTTTCTCAATCAATATGAAGTTTTTCGAACAAGAACACTCAAATCTGCTAAGAAAACGAGAAATATTTGCAGCTCTAACACAAATTTGATGATTTTGAGGTTATTTAAGCATCAAAATTTGCTTTCAATTATTTACATAACCTAAAAAAGCAAAGAAATTGATTTTTTTTCAAAAAAATCAATTAAGATCTCAATTTGTTGCAACAGAAGCATTTGCAATACAAATAATCTAAATATTTTACCACTTTTAATTCCAAGCACTTCAACAATAAGCTGTACACCACTTCAGACCACAATATCTGCCCCTTGGTGAAGACATTGAGTTAGTTCTCACGCCAATAAGAGAACTCTTGGTGTTGTCGAATGAAATATTTCAAACTCTACACGCTTTTTTGTATACATAATTCGCATTTATTACACTCTAAATTCCCACAGGATAGAGAAACTGGAGAGTCAAAATAAATCTGTCTCTGTTTCTGAACATCACAATTCACAGCTTTCCTGTTTTCTCTCTCTTTCTCTCTCACTCAGTTTCCATGCGAAACACAATGATTCTCGGTCAGAGAATTCCACTTTATTTTTCGACCAAAACTTTTCAAATAAATTTGTATTCTTCCCCCTTTTCGCCCAAAACTAAAAGTGTTTTATTGTATTTCTCACCCTCTTGTTTTTAATCTCTCTTCTGTCTCATCAAAAAGAGAGGAGAAAACTTAATACAATTGACGATGAACAGTGACTTGAAATTCTTCTCTTAATTCTACTATATTTGCAATGTTTTCAAATTCTGTTTGATTCTTTTGATTTTATACAATTTTTCGATTTTATGAGAGGAAAATGAAAAATTCTTATTGACATTTTTCAGTTATTCATTAAAAATGGGCTTGTTTTTAAGTCTTTTTTTGTATTTAAAGTTTCTTTTAAAATGTTTTGTTGCATTTTTTCTGTACGTTGTTGTTAAATTCTTTTAAAGTTTCTATTTCACTATCATTTGTAGTTATTTTCCAGTTTCTTTTAGATGTATTTTTTGCTATAATTCTGATAAATATTTTGTATAAGTTTATTTTTATGTTCTGTGTTTAATTTATTATCGATTTTAAGGGGTGGAAAAATTGTTACAAACTTGCTAAGTTGAGTGTAGTTTAATTTTCCTATTGTCGACATTTCTTTTTATTTTCATTGTGTGTTTCTATAATTATTCTCTGTTGCTTTTGAAATGGGAATTTCCTGTCAAAATTGCACTTTTGATATCGTCGATTTGGCACAAGATATGAATGTTTACACATCGCAGCGTTATGAGGCATTATTTGGCTGGAAAGTGAGTATAAAATGTAATGAATAATGTAGTAAAGTGACTGCTAATTGCCTATTCGCATGTAAACAGATATTGGGTAATTATTTAGGCTGACTCACGTTCGATAAATCAACAGCGCGACGAACGATTACGGAATATTTTCCCTTCGTGTGTGAGACTTTAATGAACACTTGGCGGTGCTTCTCGATGGGGGCGCCGGGTGGTTGTGTCGATTCAAGGGGCAAATCGCAAGGCGATTTTTGAGGAAACTTACAATGTTCCCTAATCAAATAATCAATTTTGGAGTAAAATATTCAAAAAATGATCATTTTCACAAGTAAAATTGAAAAATAATCAAAATTTGAAGAAAATACTAAAAAAAGAGTATTTTCCCAAAAAAAAATTGCAACAAATTCTAAATAACCAAATTCTGAAGTAAATAATCATAAATAAATAAATAAATAAAATAATCAGAAAAAGATTATTTTCCCAAGTAAAATGAGAAAAAATCAAATTTTGAATAAGAAGATAAAAAAAAATTATTTTTCCGAGATGAATATAAAAACAATCAAAATAATCAAATTCAAATTAAAAATATTAGAACAAAGATTATATTCCCAATTAAAATTACAAAAAAATCTAAATAATCATAAAATTATTATTTTCCCGAGAATGAAATTAAAGAATAATCAAATGTTAAATTAAATAATCAAAAAAAGATTATTTTCCCAAGTAAAATTGAAAAAAAAATATCTAAATAATCAAATTTTGAATACAATAATCAAAAAATAAATATTTTCTCAGGTAAAACTGAAAAATAACCAAATTTTGAATGAAATAATTAAAAAAAAAGTTTTTTTCCCAAGAAAAATTGAAAAATAATCAAATTTGGCATAGAAAAATTAAAAAACAAGATTATTTTCCCGAGTAAAATTACAAAGAATCAAACTAATCTTATTTTGAATAAACTAATTAAAAAAAAAAGATTATTTTCAATCAATTAATCAGAATATTCCGAATATTCACTTATATTATTCGATTGTATTCAAATTTTGATCAAATATTCAGAAAATAATCAAAATATAATCAGAATTTGTATGAAATGATCAAAATTTGAATCTAAATCACAAATAATCGACAGAATAATCCAGAATTTTGTGAGAAATAATCAAAATTTGATTAATAATCACGAATAATCAAAGAAAAATGATTGAACAATCGCAAAGTTGATGATTTCAACTCGCGATTGACTGCCCCCTGGTGTCGATGTCATGGATTGAAGTCGTGTGCCCGGAAGCGGGGACAGACGAAAGGGGTGCGGTTTGAATAGATTGAGAATTTACAGCGAGTGGATATCTTAACGAGGCCCAAACCGATCAAAATGGGTTTTTACACACTTGACATATAAGACAGACAACCCTTATCATTTGGTTTATGGGATTTTGCAGTGTGTGTGGCGGTAATCTTTTTGCCCTTCGCGCCACTTTTTTTTCTGTAATATCTGTGCGGCTTTGAGAGGCGGAAAGAAGAGAGAGTCTCGCAGAATAAATAGATATATTGGGAGCATATCAATATCAAAATTCGATTTTCTCAAGCATTTTTATTTATTTTATTCGCCTGAATGTATTTTCATTTCTGCGCGCGCCACATCAAATCAGCATCAAAAACAGTAAATTGCATGGCAGATGAAGAAGTCGAATTTGAGGCAGAAAAACAAATATATATTTCTGTGATACATATGTATCAGCAGAGAGATGTGGATTCATGAGGTTTCTCTGTGTGTACTTTAGTGTGAATAATTCAGGCAAGTGGATGAATTGTAGAAATCTT